TGCAATATTTGGCCTAGTTTTATTTGCAATATACAATAACGATCCAATCAATTGTGAGTACTTCAGTTGAGAAACAGGTTCTCCATTATTTTTCTTTAGGTGCACACTAGGATTATAAAGAGTCGATACTGGCTTGTTATCAAAGTAGTTAAACTTTCTCAACATTTTTTCAATTGTACTCGATTGATCTAAAGTGATACCCTTTGATGATCTTTCTAATTTCATTCCCATTATCACATTTGCTTCTCCTAAGTCATTCATATCGAAATTTCTAGACAAATATGATTTAATATCCTTCACTATACTCAAATTTGTCCCAAATATCAAGATATCATACACATACAAACATAGTATGACATAATCTTCATTATTTCCTTTATAGTAAACATATTTGTCAAACTCGTTTATCTTAAATCTGTAATCTAGCATCACTTTATCAAACTTCTCATACCATTGTTTAGGAGCTTGTTTAAGACCGTACAAGGATTTGGCTAACTTACAGACTTTAAGTTCTTGTCCTTTCACTAGAAACCCCTTAGGTTGCTCCATGTAAATTTCTTCATTTAAGTCTCCATTCAAAAAAGCAGTTTTTATATCCATTTGATGAATCACAAGGTTATGACTACATGCTAAGGCTACTAGTATTCTAATAGTTATGATACTAGACACAGATGAATAAGTGTCAAATTAATCTAAACCTTTCTTTTTTGTGAATCCTTTAGCTACTAGCCTTGCCTTGTATTTATCTATGCTCCCATCTGGTTTCAACTTCCTTTTAAAAACCCACTTACACCCTATACCTTTATTTCCAGGAGGTAAATCTATTAAAACCCAAGTATTGTTTTGAATTATTGTTACAATAAAGAATATATTTTTATAGCAGTCAGAACATTGTTATTATTTTTATTATTAAAATAAAATAAATATATACACACAAAATTTCAAACACTTTGAAAAGGGTATATATATATATATATAATTTGTAATTTATATAGTATATATCCTATATCACGTTTCAAAAGAAATTTAATAGTGTAATGAATATATATTTGATGTATTGTATATTACAATTAGTATTATGCAGGCAAGTGATAGAGTTTTTATAAAATTGCAACAAGTACAATATATATCTAACAGACTACTTTTCTTTTTTATATATATAAATAGCAGTTTTAGATTGTTGCGTCAAAACTAATAATATAATAATAATATACAAATACTCAAATAACCCCAACACTAGTGTAACATATATTAATAGAAATTCAAATAAATAATAGTGAACAGCGTAATTTATCCTTATAATACAATAGGAGAAATATATATATATATATATATATATATATATATATATATATATATATATATATATAAGTAAAAGAAAGCTCTGTGTCATGACTTTGGACCTTTCCAAGCAATGTTCTTGTAAGGGCCTATAAATAAGAGGTGGGAGTTCATTTGCTCCTCACCAAACAACTGAAAGCTCTCAGTCCTTATAAACTGCCATGTCATTGTCTATTGGGCGTCTGCGTGGCGTAACTTATCTCTCTCTCCCCTATAGGGATTGCTTTAATCCCCGAAGGGCCCAAGCCCTATGAGAAACATATTAAAGAATGCAAAGTAGAACTCTCTATCAAATCTTTTCATAGAATAAGATGTAAGCCTCACAGCGATCGAAGAACTTCTTCCAAAGAAGCTATTCGCACGTAAGCATCACTAGCGTAGTACCAAACAAAATCTCCATTTTCTTTCTCAGTGTAGATAAACGTTGTGGCTCCGTTTGTCTGGAAGTAAAATATTTTTTTATTTTTTGATATTTGGTTGTCTTAAAATATTTACGAAGAAAAAAATATTAAAATTTAATAAAAATAATTTATTCATAAATTTTCGACAAGTTATTTTACATGCCCCGTCTGATGAACTCAACATCAACCTCGATGTAGATCTTTGCCAAACACCAACAAAGTAAAAATAAAATAATATTTTATCTGAAGAAGAAAAATATTTTTTAAAAAGAATATTTTAGGTTGAAACAAACGGAGTTAGTGGGAAATTTATAGCATGTGAGAACAGGAAACTTTACGGAAAGAGAAAGAAAAAAAGAGCATGTTTTGTACAATTAAACGTGAGCGAATGTAGCATGCATTTGTTAGTTTGTTTCATGTTTGTTGCAAGGATGTTGATTAGAGAGGTTAAGCCCAATGTATGAAAGAGACTGTTTGGCAAATAGAACACAAAAAATATAAAAATAAAAATAAAAAAATAAAAATAAAAATTGTGAATATTTTGTCTGAGGTTTCATTTATTTGACCGCGAAATATTTTCTTCAATTGAAAATTATAGAAATTTATATTTACTTCTGGTGCCAGGTCAAAAATTTCTCATAATTTTCTCCAATGCGAGTCAAATTCTAGTCATTACATTTAAAGCATTTTGAAATGACACTGTAGACACTAAAAATTTAGTAGGCTTTGGTTTTGACAAATTGACCCATTATGGGCTTAATGTTTAATTAAGTTATTTAATTGGCCTAAGCTTGGTCCATTTAAATTATTTAATTAGCCCAACTAGGGATGTCAATTTTTACCGCCCCGCCAGGGTCCCGCTCCATCCCGCCCCGTTAATAACGGATATGGGAACACTTTTTATACCGTTGGAGCGGGCATGGATACATATTTTGTACCCATCGCTGATCACAGGGCGGGTAAGGGTTCAATATACATATCCTAGGAGCCCCGCCCCGCCCCGCCTCGCTAAGCATATATATATATATATATATATATATATATATATATATATATATATAATATTAATAACTTATTTTAGCGACTTACCCAGTTACCCATCTCTTACAATCCTAATTTGGGATATAAACTTGGTATTAAATTTGATTTTGTTTTGGTTATGGTAGAAGTTGGAGCTTAGAACTTCTTGTGATTTAATTGTATTAAACTTTTATTTTTGTTTATTATGTTCTCGAATTATGTTATGTGCATGTTATTTTTTTATTTTTGTTGGTATACATAATTTCATTTATGTTATGCCATTCCCAGACTTTCCACATTTAAATAACAGGAACTTAAGTTCCAAAAAGTGGGAGAAAAAAATTTGTTAGTGGGGCGGGCACGGGGGCATAGTATTTCCCAACAGGGCGCGGCTGGACATGAAAATCCAACCCGTCGCGGGTTTTGGGGCGGGCATGGACTTGACAAAAATTAAAAAGGACGGGGCGGGATTTAGGGAAACCCGCTCCAAACCCGCCCCGTTGCCATCCCTAAGCCCAACCCAAAAGGTTAAATAAACAGATAATTATTCCTAATAAAATATATTTAGAATAATTATTTTTAAGGATAATTATCATAATATAACCGGTCCGGCCCGGTTATAATTTTATCCTTATCAGGAGATGACACGTGTCATCATCCTATCAACCCAAGAAGCCTATAAATAGAGGCCTAGAGGAAGAAAGAGGGGGACAAATTCAGAGTCCAGAAATCCAGAAGGTCCAGAAATTGAGAGAATCGGAGAAATCCAGAGAGCCAGAAATCCCGAGGGCAAACCTGAAGGCGAAGAACACCAAGCACATCCAAAGTCGTGCCGTTCTCCACCAAATTCAACAAATTCTCTTCTCTCTGAAGACGAAGAACAACAAGCACATCCAAAGACGTGCCGTTCTTCATCAAATTCAACAAAGGACACAAATTCAGAATTCAGAAGTTCAGAAATTCAGACACAAATTCAGAATTCAGAAGTCCAGAAATTCAGACACAAATTCAGAATTCAGAAGTCCAGAAACAAATTCAGAATTCAGAAGAGACTCAGAAGTCAGAGACACAAATTCAGAATCCAAACCTAAAAGCGAAAAACATCAAACACATCCAAAGTCGTGCCGTTCTTCACCAAATTCAACAAATCCTCTATAAAGACGAAGAACACCAAGCACATCAAATCGTGCCGTTCTTCATTCAAAAATCCACGGTGATTCAAGATCAAGCTCGTGCAGCCCTTGAATCCAATCAACCAAAAAGGAGATCGAATCAGAGGACCATTCTTTTCTTTTTTTTTGTAAAAGCTATCACAAAGGATTGTACTCCACATTCATAAATTAATAAAATTATTATTTTGCTCCATATTTTATTTTATTTGCGAATTACAAAATTTGTGTGTACAGACACAAATGAAAAGGAATATTAAAATTGTATTGGTGTATGCATATAAACAATTGTAAAATTTGTAATGCACATTTTTTGGTTTAATGGTCTACAAATAACTTCCACAGTTTCTGCAGTTTTCAAATTTATGTTGTTTGCTTTGCAACGTACTTTGACAAGTATTTGCTCGTAGTTGCATACAGTACAAATTTCAATGTTATAACCACATTGCGTAACATTTTGTGGCATTCCACCCACTAGATACATCTAATGCTAAAATTTCACGTTTTAAATGCTTTGTTTTAAAATTTTTTTTTATTTATTGGAGCCCTGGAGTCCGACAAAATACTGATCGGTTTTTTTAGCATTACTCATTATTATAGGGATAAAATCCCGTCAACAAAGTCACACAACGATATCAGATCCATGTATCATTACACTTGAAAGATGCATGTGAACAATGCATCTGAAATAACATTATGTGATAACAAAGAACTTGCCCTAATGGCACCTGCTCTCCTTTCAAAACAAAAGGTGAAGGGTTCGAGTTTCTCAAAAGCATTCAGAGTTTGCCTAGGGAGGGGGAAAAAAATCATTAAGAGATGAAGTTAAATTTTTGCAACCTACAAACCCTACCTGCAACTACAATATTGTAATAAATATTAACATAATTGATAATATTTTGACCACTCCAGGATGCAAGTTCATCCGGTATAAGTTATATTTAACCTTGTAAGTATTAGAAAGTATTATCTCTCTCATTTTTTTTGAGATTCTTGTTCCAATCTTGAAGATCCCGAATCGATCCAAACATGGGGTCCGGATTTTAGTAACCTTCACACACACACAGAATAGCAAGAAGAAAGGAGGCCGCCACACAAATATACAATACGAAAACAGTATAGAGAGATGAATTTGCAAATCTCTGTTAAATATTACTTTGCTACTGACAAATTACTTACAACAGATGAAATCTGGCTACTCTGCAGGCCATTACTCACACCACAAGACAAAGTCTCAAAACTTTGCTCTTCTGGATTGGAGAAAGGAATTTCTCTCACTTAAGCAAAATGTTTCTTCGGTATTTTCCCATTTCCATTTTCTCATTCTACGGGGGTTTCCACTATCAACAAAATCATTACAGAATCAAGCAAACATGTCCAATGACTTGTAACTAGTTCTAGCTTACACGAATAGCACACAAAATGTATGCTCCTCTATTTGAGAATCCAAGTTTGTACCATCAAGGGATTTGGCAATCATGGTGCCAGGTCAAAATTTGATTCCAATATCGGAAAGACTTCAGCAAGAGAAGATACCTTGTAATCTGGTTGAAATTCCACAGATGCATATTCTGGAGAATTATATCTCCCTGTTTCATCAAGCAAGCACGTAAATGCTCCTGCTCGTTTCCCACAAGCCACCTGCAAATACGACATCATAATAGCCAAATACTGTTTAACACAGTGACAACTGTCTGCATTTCAAGTTCAAGGATACATCATACATCAAAGTTATAATGAATTTATTCACACCAGCACACATAATGCAATACAGAGTAGCAAAAGGAAAAATATGTGGTAACTTACTAATAAAAAAATAATAGACAGAGAGCATGTGCCATTTCTTTTCCACTCAGACAACACAAACATCCCCCACCCCACCGGCCCGCCTATCAAGGAATTGTTTGCACCCAAGAGGAATTGAACCTTAGACCTCGTGATTCATGAGGCACTAGGGCCAAGTGACTTACCCACATGCCATATTAAATTACAGGAACTGTTAAACCATTTGATTTGAACGGCTTCTCCAAATTTCTCCACTCATTATATTAACATGGTAATCAAATGGTCGAAGACCATCTTGAAGGACCATTCACTGTTAAGTTTCAAATCATTTAACACCATGCCATCAACTAAATGAAAACTTAATTGTGGCAGAAAAATTGAGAACCTAATATAGATACAAGCATGATAAATAACAAACGTTGTTTTATGAAAAATAATATATATATATATATATATATATATATATATACTCACATCATCTTTAAGGCTATCTCCGATCATCATTATTTCATTAGGTGGAATTTCCCAAGTTGAACAGATATGCAGCAGCGGAGATGGATCCGGTTTATAAGGACGAAATTCCCTGCTTAGTGCTGGAGAAAATAGCAGCTGTAGCAACAACATATAGTATAATATTAAAATCAATACTTAAACAAAAATCGACATCATCATCATCATCATTTTTGCCTTTATCCCATAAATCATGAATTCTCTTTTTCCATTCTAGTCATCTCTCCTATAATATTTAACTTTCTAAAATCATTTTTAATAACTTCTTCTCATGCTAATTTCAATCGCTCTCTCTATCTCTTACTCTCTACTTAACCTTCCGAGGGGAAAAAAAAAAAAAACTCTACACAAATTAGTCTCTCTGGTGCATCGGTCTTCATTGTATATATTGGTACCATCTAAGTGTTTTTTCTCTTATTTTTAACACCAATAGCCATCACTCCTAATTTATCCCCCACACTTTCATTAGTTACCTTCTTTCTTCTAGTTTGCTCATACCATCCATCTTCACATCCTCATTTCAGCTGCCTGAATTCGTTGTTCTTGTCTTTTTTCAAATCCAAAATTTTGTTTCATAACAAATAGTTGGTCAAATAATTGTTCTATCACTTATTTGTTATTTTGTTATCGCATAAGACACCATTAGCATGTCTCCATTCTGTCCAACCTGATCTAATTCTATTAATAATATCTCCATCTATCTTGCTATCCTTTTGTATTATTGAGCCGAGATATCGAAAATGGTTACTATAGATAATCCTTTGGTTTTTAAAGTGTGAACATTATATTATCAATATCTGACTCTTTATTAAATTTACATTCCACATTCAGTTTTAGCCTTTTGATTATGATGTATTTCTCCACATAGCACTTTATCATCGGCAAACAACATACTCTATGGTATGCCTCCTTTTAAGTCTTTTGTGGTTTCTTCTAAAATTATTGTGATGGTAAAATCCTACTTTTATAGAAAAATCACTAGTCTCACTACATATAGTGCGAACTCTGGTTTCTGTATTCATATACATATCCTGAAAAACCACTACCATTTCTATAGGGATTTGTTTTGTTTGTAAAATCCACCAAATTATATCTCTTGGTACCCTTTCACATATAAGGTGAAATGTTTTCAGAAGGAATAGTCTGGAAGAAATTTCCTTCCTGAGATGTATGAATGCATAACAATCTTTGGATGGGTGGAGACAAATAATGTTCAAAACAATTTTCAGCTCATATAGATGCTTGTTAAAAGCTAGTTCTAGATTTATCATATCTGCACTAACACAAGCACTAGAATTGCAATGGTGCATCAATAGTTGGAATTAAACCGGTTTCAAGCACCACACAAAACACATAGGCAGAATGGAAAACCTTCATATTTTTTCTCAAATCTAAACAACTGCAGAAAAATAAGTAATCTGAATGGTTCCACTCGCAGGGAACATTGAACCACTCATGCTGTCAGTTGTAACCTTGTCATTCTTCAAGTTTAGTTGAAATTTTTTCCATGATTTACCATTTCCAGTTTTATCATTTTTTGATCAATTTTTATCGAGATTAAGGTAAAACAGTTCAAACCCCACATCAGGCTCCTTCCATATGCAAAGCAGTGAGTTCTAAAATATTACACATCTTTTGGGCCCTTCACTCATCAAGGAATAGAACGAATTGAGTTGATCTATAATGATCTTTCAGGTCAAGAGCAAGTACAGATTTCCCTCAACCAGCACAACTATCTAATTGAACTCCTGCAGTAACCTTATTTGAAGGATATACTGGTAAAAGAAATGATCAAATTAAAATAAGATGGATAATGGTCAGTACGCCTAACTGCAAGGCAAAAACTGAAGGACGGTGTAGCTAATACACTGTCATGGTGCTTTACATGTCCAAACATGTTCTTTATCAAATTTAAATTTTACTAGTCAATGCAGAAAACTGAATTTACTCCAAAATTGGAAGACGAGCATGCACGAGAAATGTAGATCACTCTGCAAATATGGCCTTTCAGTATCCTTTTGGTTATTGTAGACAACGTTGTAGGCATAGTTCTGAGGACAAGGAATCAAATGTTACGTGGAATAGAACAAGGTCGTGAATTCCTTCGGTCTACCTCACTGAAAATTTTGTAATGACCTACTATTACATTTTCCTATGCCGATTGATTGACATGGTGATAGGTGTAATTATAAACCACATAACATGTGCAAAAAATGTTTTCAGTACACTTTTCATTCTGATCCACTGAATCCAATGAATACATGTCACAAGTTAATTAAGAACAGAAAAAAAAACAAAAAAAGGCAATGTAAAAATGTTTATATGTATGAACAATTTTATGTTAAAATCGACAATCTTGAAAAAAAAAAATAATAATAAAATAAAAATAAATAAATAAAAAACTTACCCCGAACCTTTTATGAAACAAATCAACTGCTGCCTTGACATTGCGAGTGATTAATCCCCTTCTGAAGAAAGTAAACCTTTTATCAGCATAACTAAAAATGATATTGATACCATAGAATACCTAAAGATGTAAATTTAGAAAATTGCAAGCCTACTTTTAAAGACATGAAAAATATATATATACAACCAAAAAAGTGAATTATCAAAGACTTGCATTTGGAGAAAAATAAACAAAGAATTATTAGTTTTCACTGATCAAATGTGCTGGCGCACACATGCAAATACAACCAATATCAGAGAGAAGCATGAGAGAACAAGTAATTTAGCATTCTTACACAAACAGAAAGTCAGACAATTATTTTCTTATTTTTTTCTGGTTAAGTAAAACATGCACAGAAATGTACAACTGAAACTTAAATCTTGCCCCTCTGCTTCGTGTGTGGCAAGAGATACTACTCAAGCAAACAGGTGGTGGCAGATACCAGATAATGATTTTACTCCTCAGAAGTCGAATGCAAATCACTCCTCAACTTATGATGGTCCTGAGGAAAAATTAACAAGCACTTTCAATAAACACAACCGAAACTGAGCTGTGGAACCTCTTCAATTCAACATTTATAATAGTACGTGAGAGTATAGATGGAGCTCTCTTATCGTATTTTTACCAAGTATTGCTAAATTATTCTAGTCAACAACGTAGATTTTTCAATACACTAACGTGCGCTCCAATTGCCCCACCCTCAAACAATAGAGGCAAAAGTCTAGCATGGCTCATCCGATGAGCCCACAAACTAAACATGCATCACCAGATCTGTAAGGAAATCTTGTGGGAGTGAAAGCCCCAATCAATATGTCTACGAAAGAATACTACGATCATATTATGAAATCCTCAACCTCCTTGTCAGATTACCGACCTCTTTAATTTGCCAGAAATATTCACATCAATACTATCTCCTTTTAAATCTGGGCAGAGGTGAGGAGCTTTTGTAAAATCAAGGTCAAAACTAAGGAAATCTGGTGGGGGTGAAAGCCCCAATCAATATGTCTAGGAAAGAAGACTGAATCGTAGTTACAAAATCCTCAACCTCTTTGTCAGATTACCGTCCTCTTTAATTTTCCAGAAATATTGATAGGGATCCTATCCACTTTTTAAGCTGGGAAGATATGAGAAGCTTTTGTAAAAGCAAGGTCAAAACAGTTCACAGAAATCAGTGGAAAACAAAAGGGCTTCTAAATTCATTGAAAGTTCAGGCCTCGGACTAGACTTTCATCATTGCAACATTGATCAAATTGAACTTTCGTCTTTTACATAACTCAAATTTCTCAAAGGGTTTCTGGAGCAGCATTCTAAAAGAAGAAAAGGAGTTAGCAGTCTCAGAACAGGATGGTACTTCAGATCTCAAAACCCTAGCTAGTGCCAAGAACCAGATGCAAACAGTAGAAAGACCCAGTATGCAATCTGTATTATAATATCTGTTGCTATCTATGTCCCGCCTACATCTAGAAGCCAGTAAACTCACATGCCACTTAACTTGAGTACCCATATTTGTGCGGAAAAATTTAACAATTTCTACCTCATAAACTGGAGGAGAACATATCAAGTTTCAAATTTAAGTTACATCATCAGAAGGTTCCATTCATTCTCAACATGCATTTATTATTCATCTTTCCAACCATCCAATTAATACACAAAAACCAACCAAAAATTCTTATAAGTTGACCCCGAGTATATAGACCCCAACACTTATTACCTCATAAACCCAGGAAGACCATGTAACGACCCAAACTCGGAGGCCCGAACCGTTAGCCGGGTCCTTGCTAGAACCCGAGGTCACCTATGTCAAACCTGACACATCTAGCACCTTTGGGATCATAACGAAACTTCACAAGGGCTCAAGACTAATTCCAAAGTTTAGAAGAGGGATAACCTAAAAGGAAGAAGCAAGTAAACCCAACAGGAGCACTTCGGTCGACCGAAGTGGAGCTTCGGTCGGCCGAAGCAGACCTTCCAGAACCGGTCGACCGAACCCCTATTTCGGTCAACCAGAAGGTGAGATACCGAGAGGGTGAGGAAGGTTCGGTTGACCGAACCCCATTTCGGTCAACCGAAACAGGAGATCCTGAGACCACTTCAGCTGGTTCGGTCGACCGAGGTGCCATTTCGGTCGACCGAAATGGCTCCATCGAGCCCAGGTCCTGAACCTAACCTGCTGCACCTTGAAGATGAAATAGAAACTGAAATGGGAGTTTTACAATGATTCAAAACTCGGAATAAATCACTAGAGATGAATTTCTTAAACATCAAAGACTAGAGTACTGACTCGTGTTCACATAAAGCATCATTGAAATTGGTTCACATGAGTTTCAACTTAACCTTTTACATCATGAACATTTTTCATCAAAATGGTTTCAATAATGAGTTACATTATAATTTACAGAACCAAAAGAACTTAATACATTTAGTATCGTGTACTTTACAAAGTAAGTCCAGGTTCTACAAAAGATAACCAAAATACTCATCGAGTTCTCTCAAGTCTATGATGAATTATCATCCACCAATCCTTCGCCGTGCCCTGAAAAATATTAAATAAAGTGGGGTGAGCATATTGCTCAGTAGGCGACACCTAAGACACACCTCTTGTGCCCCCGTGAATCCATACAAAGAATAGAGCAATGGGAATCGGGGTCATACCATGTCAGGAAAGTACAACATGTCTACCAATCTCATTTACAAATCATAGAATGTTATGAAATGAAATGAAATGCATGTCAATGTCGCTCCCCATTTTCACATTCAAAACCATCACTTTCAAACTGTTAATGTAACCCCCTTTGGTGACTCCGTAGCGCCGAGAGAAGGATTGGTCACTGTCCCTGACCTTTGGTGACTCCGCAGCGTCATTATGGGGCCCAGATGGCTCAACCACGCTAGGACAATCTCCCTAATTCCCTCTAGGTTACATTAACCTACCGGCCCGTTGGTGACTCCGCAGCGACCGGGTTTTCTCAAAAAGTTTTCATCAAAACACTTTTCCCTAAAACTTCCCATTTTCATTTCGAAAACAATTTCTCCCATTTCATTCCCAATGTGAATGCCTAGATGCATTTAATGTCATGTCCATGATCATCATTTTGAAATTAGCTCAAATTCACTTAGCAAAGCACAATTCATTCACAAGGATTTCTATGGAAACTACAACATGCTTCCATCCAATAACATCTAGTATAATAGACATATAAAGAACCAACATATAGGCATGCTCTTCACATAGACCATTTAACACACATAGTTACACCAAATTGACAAATATACATCACAACTAATCAATTAACTAGAACTATACAAATTAAACATACTAAATAACCATTTAAAAGAGATTAACTCACAAAAGCACAAGAACTCGTGGATTAAGAGCCCCTACCTCAAGATTGAGTAAAACCCTTGAAATGGGCCCCCAAATTCGAACTCCAATGGAAGGCCAAAAACTGAAATTGATGGTACTAATGCGTAGAGCTCTTCGTAGGCTTCATTTTGCCTCAAACGGCACTCAAATCAACCAAGTGTTGAGAGAGAAATCTTGCTTCAAAGATTTGGTTGAAAAAAAAAAGAAAATGCAAGATGAAGAATTGAGAGAAAGAGGAATACGGGGAGAGAGAAAAATGGCAAGCAAATGTGGTCTCTAGACCACTTAGAGGTGTGAGTGGTGGGGCCCTCCACCTTCTTTTTATTTTCTCTTTTTCTTTATTCTTTCATTTTACACTCTATACACATACTTATAATGCACCACCAATTAGATGATACATGAATCACATAATTCAAAATGCACAAAATGCAACTGGACCCATCCACAATCCCGTACGAAAAATGTGAAAAGACCGAAATACCCTTGCATCAATGAAATTCCGGAAAAAGAAAAAAAGCAAAAATCGGAAACGTCACAGACCATTTTGGAACGCATATTTTCATCACATCTTGGAAGAGTTTCACACACTTCTTTTAAGCTTTATGAATGTAATTCACTTTCATTTCTAGTTCTTATCAAACTCTTTGCATGTATATAGGATTAGCCTCCATATATATTCTTAATAAAACAAGTAATCAACTCATCAATCCCATCCTCAAATAAAACTAACAGTCAAAAATAGAAAAGATGGTGCAATAAAATTGAGAACATGAGAAGGATCGGACTTGGAATTAAATGAATGGGTAAGAACGGATAAACTAGACAACCGCATATAGCATGCAATATGCAATTCTCATATCTTCCTATTGATCCATTGATATCTAAAACCCAGATTTAAAATTGATGAGATATTAAATTGTGAGGGGAAATAATGAAGGCCTAACAGGCATGACACCAATTGTATATAAGACAAGCCACGTTGATTGAACCAAATTTAATTTTTTTTTTAAAACGGAAGCAGAAGGCTTAACTAAAAAGAAAGCACTCCGTCTAACATGAAAAACCAGAGATTAAGCTCAAACAGCCATAAGTTAGTCACAATACAATGGAAAGGAGTGACGATGACAACATAAAAAGAAACATCTGTGAGAAAAGTTTACCTAATATTCCTTGAGTCAAGGAAACCACAAAGTTCTGATGCACCTGCACCATAATTGACTTATCAGCAAGTCAAATCAAATATCTATCAAGTGATTGGAGAAAAATAAAAACATAAACTAGTACAAAATTATTCTTTTAAAAAAGAATCTCAATTTGACTAATAAGTACTGGACAACTGAAACCCGACTTCACAATATCATTAGAGCCTTTCTGTAATCCCTCTACTAATTTGAAGTATTTGTGCTTTTAAACTTTCAGCCACTTTTATTTGGATTGGAGAAGTGCGCCAACAGAATAACTACATGTAATATACAAGCAGATATGCAAAGTGAAGCACTTAACGCACCAAATCAGTGAATCACTTGCTAGGTATCAATCAATTCAATGTCATCACCAAAACCCTGGTTTAGATTTCAAATGCACCAAGTTGAAACTCGTGAAACCTTTTCTTCAGAAGAATCAAAAGATTCAAAACTGAATGCAGAAGGATGCTTATTTCCTATTTCTAACCAAAAAGTAAACTCAAAAATCTTGATGTTTATTTTTTTTCTTTGAAGAAAATTAATAATAATTTACTCAAAACACTCAAAACCTGGTGTTGATTCCATTCCTTCGGCCTCTTTCGCAACTTCAACTCTCAGAAATGTTTGTGACTATCATATATCTATCATGTGTCCATATTCATGATTGTCACAATAGAGGCACTATAGAAAGAGCACAGTTTATGTATACTATTAGTTTGGACATGGATACAGCAAGTGGAGACCTTTGGATTAATAACAAACATTAACTTGTATAGTTGTATGCATAGACAAGACAGAGACACGTTCTGTTAGAGAACTTTTCATCTTTAAAAGTTTTTTGCCCTTTTTATTAGAAGGAAACCAAATGAAGGACGCACTTAAGCTCAAATAAGATCTAGCAACTGAAATCATCAAACTTTTCTCACTCTGGAAGCTGAGAAGGTATACATATCAAATTCTATGGTTACTAGTATAAGATCTGAGCTGAAGTTTGTGATACAGGGAATGACAATCTATAAACTTTTCTCGCTCTTTTTCACAGCTTAAAGATATTTATAATCACAGACTTCCATTGTTTGTGGCCCAAAAAAATGGAAAAAAATCACCTATAATTAATATTGCAAGTAAATATCCATATTGCGAAAACAACACAAGTGGCATGACTTTATTTTCTTTCATTTTTCTCTGATCTCTCAGTACTCAGTAGTCAAATAGAAGCTAAAGAATCTGAAGCCAAAGCTTAGACAAATTAGAAAAGAATAATGAGAGTCCTATATTTTAAGTGAAGAAAAGAAGCTTGTAAAACCAACCAAACATCAACCCAAATCTCATTAAGCCTTACAAGCACCAACCAATCAAACCACCATAATTTAAGTGAAGAAAAGAAGGTTGTAAAACCAGCCAAACATCAACCCAATTCTCATTGAGCTTTATAAGCATCAACCAATCAAACCACCATTTATGTAAATAAAATTGAATCAAGAAAATTTTATATCACACAAGTACATTGTGACTAAAAGGTTTATATTAAGTAATGAGACACCAGACCCAACTATGCCCACCTCAAACTAATATGAAATCAGTCATATTTGAAACCAAATCTAACATAATATGCAAAATAACCAACATTTCCAGAAACCCATTTCACCAAAAAAATAATAATAATAATTATAAATAAATAAATAAATATAAATAATAATATATAATAAATAAATAAACCACATACACAGATTATAAGTATATACAAACATATGACATTGAAAAAGTGGCTAACCGGGCATGATTTGGAGGCGATCAAGACCCTGATTTTCGAAATCGGCGATGATTTCATAAGCCCTTTTCTGCTCATCGGGACTCCAATTCTCGATATGATGCAATATGTCGATCCCCGAAGGACTCTTGGTTTTAATGGCCAGATACTCTTCTTCGCCAAGCACGGCCTTGTACATTGCCGGGAAATTGATAACTGGGATCGTTAGGGTTCCGTCCATGTCGAAGACAACGCCTCTCAGCCTTGCCTTGGTACAGACGTTGGGGGTGCTAACGGAGGTTAAATCTGCCATGGACGAAAGTAACCTTGGCCTTGGGTGCAAGAAGAAGGCGGCTCTGGATATCAACAGTGGCATTATAAGTGTGGTTTGTGTTGCATTTACAACTGCCTCTCTATCAAATGAGATGGGGGTTTGGATTTGGATCCATTGGATGGGTAGATTAAAAAGTTTTGATTTTTCCTTTTGTTTTTTTCAAAGGGGTCATGAGTTTGAGCGTGGTGGTTATTTTGGGTAGAATAGTACACGTGGTTTTATTTAACCATATTTGGCACTTGATAACAACACCATAATAATACAAAAATAATAGTAAATTACACTTATCTAAGTTTGGATAAATTATTATTAATTTGATCTTCCTTAAATTTATTCTACGAAATGCATTAATAAAAAAACATTAGGAATGTCGTTGGGTACATGTGTCAAATTTTAAAATAATTATCTAGAGGTTTGCCTAAAGATGTTTTGTTTTATGTCTTGTTTAGGCTGTGTCTCATGTGGGTACGTCCCATGTGTCTCTTGTATTTATTGTTTATATTTATAAAAAAAAATTCCTCCATTTAGGAAAAAAATAAATCTTAAATAATTTATTAATTTATAATATTTTCAAACATCATATAACTAGTAATATCACTCAAAAGAATAAATATTACTTAAAATATAAAAAATTTAAATGAAGGATACTCATTTTTCACTAAATACTAAAAACACTTTAAAAGTCAAAAAAAAAATAAAATAACTACAGATTATATAATATTCTTAAATTAGAATTAGCAATTAAATTTCAGCATTTAAAATTAGCTCTTAAAATTCTTTATACTTCATTTTCAATTTTTTTATATAACATTTTGAATCAATTTAAAGAAAATTGATCTCAACAAATATTTTTTGGGGAGGTAAATTGAGCCGAAGACCCTTCCAAACTAAACAAATCCAAATCATAGGAGAACCTTCTTTTTTCGTTTTTTTTTTTATTAGTAAGAAACTTACACACATACTTAATTTATTTAGGGACTCAAACCCTCACTATCTATTTTCAGAAGTAAATTGAGCTGATCAACCTTCCAAATTGAACAAATCCAAATCTTGTAAGAACAGTTTTACTTAGAATGTGAAACACATGCAATTTAAATCATGTGGTGTGGGTTGTGTTTATCCAAAACAAAACAAAAGGTGTGTATCCCCATTGTATGTTGTACAAAGATATTGTCGTTTGAATTGTGATATCAGGGTCTTCCATAAAAAAGATTCATATCTTTTTGCGGGCCTCATCCATTTTTTAGTAGTAAAATAAAAATAAAATAAAATAAAAGATCATTATTCTCACACAAAATGTAAATTCATCAAACTCTGGAATAATTTCTAATTTCTCTCCCTCTCTCCCATTACTGTAATGGATCTGAAATTCTAAAACCTTCTGAATTATCTGTCCTTTGTATAGATAATTTTATAGTATATATGTTGCCCAGAGCAACAAAGAATTACATGAACAACAAATTGATTCCAATGGAACAAACTTCCCACTCAGAAAATTGTCTCCAGTGTAGACCCGACTTACCTTGTATTGAATTCTAAGGTACGAGTGAACAATACACAATGCATGCGAAAAAAAGGGTACACAGTACTTTTGAAGGCTCTGGTACCCAAATTATGCAGTATAAAGTGGCTCTAGCAATTAGTCATAGAAGAAGCATCCCACACTGTCATTCCCACTGATGATTGGCATGCAACTTAGCTCCATGTATTTGATAAATTTGTTTCGGCATTGAGTAATTCAAACTCGGCACACAGAGAAAGGTCAGGGAAGCAAGGAAATCTCCTATCAGCATAGGAAAAATGATGCAAGGATTGTTCAACGAGCTTAGTTGACCAAACCAAACCAAGCCAAGTATAAAGTTTAAGCTTTGCTGTGAATGACTATAGCATCTTAGTCCATGAACCCAAGAATGGGAAAACTGCAATCAACAGTCTCAACAATAAGGGTGTGTCACTTCTTCCCAATCTCCTGCTCAATTTTCCCTTCTCCATGGGTGTCCTCCTTTGTGATTTACCTGCTGTTCGAGCTGGCCTCTTCCGGGATCTCATATCAAACTCTTTTTGTCTATCCAGCACATCCCATCCCCCAAAACTGGGCTCTTCTTGGGAACCCTTGTCAACTGAAATATCATTTTCAGCTACCCATGACTGATATCCCCTCTTTCCCTTTCTGCTTCCTGGGCCTTCTTCCTCCTCCTCCTCCTCCAACTCAAAATTACTTGCAGTGCGGGCACTTGGTTTCTTCTTGGTCCTTGTCTTGCGTTTTGGGTTGGTTTGTTTCCCTCCCCACAACTTCTCAAATGCTAAAGAAAGCATTGACTGTCCAAGGGGAAGTGCTAATGCCATGAGGAAAGCTTTGGGACCTGTTGCTAGGAGTGTCGATGCGATGATGGCTGGAAGCATCCAACCATAGGATCTGAATACCTGCACTGGTCAAAAAACAAAGATTTTAAGAACATTTATAACAGTGTAAATAACATATTAGAAGTAAATGTACAAAGTTTTATTAGGGAAATAATGAACTGATGGATTAGAGGACCGTTACTCAAAGCTCTTAACAGGTCAGAGTGCAGGCAGTAAAATTAAAACTTAAGAGGGGCTGAATAAGTCTTATGGATATTAATTTATAATGATAATTATTTGCTAGTTGTGTTCTGAATTTTAGTTTGTTACAGTTATTCTTGTAGCTAGTATCCAATCACACAACCATAGAAATAAAGGAGAGAGCAAGAATAGTGGAATACCAAAAATTTTAAATGAAAAACCCTGAAAAGAGAAAAACCACGAGACCTCGTCCACCTATGAACAATCCAGTATATGAGAACAAGCTACAACTAGGTCAACAGTTCCCATACCCTAGAAGCCCTAGTTACTTCTTAACAGAGACTGTAACGAAACTCACACCAGAGGCTTCAGGCCATTGACCCGCTTTGTCAATAGAATTTCAATATGCTTCTCCATGGTTGTTCAATCCTTCTGCTCTGTATTCCAATCAATTGAATTAATTTGTCTTGTTAGTCTAATGAACTCCTTTTTGTTACACACTCAATCACTGCAAGTATCTAAAGGAAATCATTTGTTCAGAAGGACAGCCAAATTATCTATTTATTGAAGTATGAAATACTAGCATTTTACTTTAAAACTAAATTAGCAGAAGCAAGAATAAAAAATCTTTTAGAAGCTTTAGGGTAGCAGTTTGTACATTAATCAAATAGGCTTCCTAGAAGTATTATAAGCTTTGCAACCATATTCCTGGCAAATAAGCAATGTAATATATAAGTTTAACCAATAATGAGAATAAAAACTATTTGAAATTTAATAGGCTAAGAGGTAATCCATCAAAAATAATGCCAAATGGAAAAATACTAAGGTGAAAGCATTCCAACTGTATTTACACAATTACACACGAACAATAAGTAAGCACTGTGAACTGTCAGTGTCAGAGATGCCATGGTAGAGACCAAAATGGAATTAATAAATTAATCAGAGTTTTTTCTTCTGAAAAAAAAAAAAAAAAAGGTAACGTTTCATTGAAAGCATGCCCAACCAGGCAGAGCATCCCAAAAGCACAAAACAAGTACCAAATAGGGCCCCTACACTCTCAACATATCCACAAAATCCACAACTTCCCCTATAGATTTATAGTTCTCCCAAAATAATAAATAAAGAGCAAAAAATATTTGGTCCTTTGTATTGTCAAATAAAGAGAGGTTGCTAGATGGATGTCTACATCCTCTTGTCACTTTGTTTGTTCACTGGAAACAGGAGTTAGAGAACACAAATTTGTTGCTATCTCTAAAAAGATCAATCCTAGGTGGAAGTGGGATAATAATTACTCTCAGCATGCTTTGTGTAGAATGTGGATGTTCTAGTTCTTAAAGATCGGTGTATGCTACTTAAGATGGTTTATGTTTGGTCAAATTCAACCTTTTTTCTCACTCGTCCATACTACTAATGTGGTCTCTGACAGAAGGAAGCTTTGGGAGGATTTGGGACTCATGGGCTCAATGGTTGTTGGTCCTTGGATCTCTTTGGGTGACTGGAATGTTGTTGAGTCTAATGAAGAGATAGAGGGGGTCTCACGATTCCTAGAGACATTTTGGATGAGTTCACTGCAGTTCTTGCTGAGATAGGTATGGATGATTTGTCTTGCATTAATGGAGGTACGTCTTGGTGTAACAGGCAGAATAATATCAGAAGGATCTATGCCAAACTTGATAGGGTTTTGGTGAATGGTGACTGGCATTTAGCATTCAGGGATTCCAAAGCTATGCTTGGTCCTGCAAGCTTTTCAGATCATCACTCTATTATGGATATGTCTTTTAACACCTGTGCTACTGATCCTAAGCCTTTCAGGTTTTTGAGGGGTATGGAACCAACAGCAGGAGGTGCAGCCTATTGTGACTCAGGTTTGGATGACAGAACTCTCTGGCAGCCCCTCCCATGTTTTGTTGAAGAAGTTAAGGGCTGTGAAGGTTGCCATTAAGGAATGGAACCAAAATTCCTTTGGACTGATTCCTGATCAAATTAAGCAGGCCAGAGATACTCTTCACAAGTATCAGCTTCAACTGCTATCTGATCCTTTAAATGACACTCTTATTCAGTAAGAGAATGCTAATAGGTTGAAGCTTGAGAATGTGCTTGCTGCAGAGGAGCTTTTGATGCACCAAAAGGCCAGAGGCAATTGGCTGCGTTCCAATGACAAATGCACTAAATACTTCTTCCAGAGGGTGATGAGACACAGAGCAGTTAACTCCATTGTAAGACTACAGAATGATGATGGTACTTGGATGGATGACCAGAAGCTTATTCAGCAGAAGATTGTGGACTTTTACTCTGACTTTTTCAACGAAAGCCAGTCTCATGTTGCTCTTCCTTTCAGTCCTAGGTACTCCCTCTCATCTGTGGAAGCTCAGTACTTGGAGATGCATGTCATTGTTGAGTAGATTAGGAAAGTTGTGATGAGTTCCAAACCTGATCAAGCACCAGGTCCAGATGGTTACCCAGCTAGATTCTTTCAATCCTACTGGCATATCATTCAATTGGATGTGGTGAGAGCTGTTAGCACTTCTTCTCATCTTGTTCACTTCCTGTTGGAGCCTCTTCTGCCTTCATTACTCTGATTCCTAAGAAAGAGAACAGCTCCAAGGTGACCAACTTTAGACCCATCACTGTTTGCAATCTACCTTACAAGATTGTTTCCAAAATTCTAGCTAACAGGTTGAGTAACTTGCTTCCTAAACTAATTGGGAAGGAACAGTCTGCATTTATTAAGGACAGGAGAATCCAAAATAACCTCATTATGGCCCATGAGTTGATTAGGGGTTTTAATTCCGAGTACTATCCGTCAATTTCTCTAAAGGTTGATATTAAGAAAGCATATGATTTTGTTTCTTGGTCATTCTTTCTTGAGCTTATGCAGAGGATGGGTATTGGCAGCAGATGGATACACTGGATTCAGGAACTTTTCATGTCTGCTAGGTATTCGGTTATGATCAATGGGCCCCCTTATGGCTTCTTCAAACCAGGTAGAGGTTTGAGATAGGTTGCCCCCTCTTTTGTTTACCTTGGTAACTGAGGTATTCTCTACTATGCTTTTTGCTGAGGTGGCTAGAGGAAACATCACCCCTGCTAGAGTTGTGCAAAGCACCAATACTCATATTTCACATCTTTTTATGTTGATGATTTGCTCCTTGTATGTCATGCTGATGTGCATTCAGTTTGCTCAATCACTAAAGTCTTTGCAGACTCTGAGTCTATCTCTGGGCTTGGTGTTAACAAGGACAAGAGTGTGGTGGTCTTCTCTAAGGCAGTGAGAAGGAAAAGACAGTTTTTGAGGCTTCTGCAATTTACTGAAGGTAACTTTCCATGACCTTACCTTGGTTTGCCTTTGAATGTGTAGGGTTTAAGGAGGAACAATTGCTCTGCCTTGCTTGACAAGGTTAGCTCTAAGATAGCTTCTTGGGGTACTCAGCTTCCTTCTCTTGCTGGAAGAGTTCAGCTTGTCAAGTATGTGGTGTATGTCATCATTCAATATTGGTGTTCATCTTTTTCATTGCCAATGGCTATCATTCGGATGCTTGAGAGAAGGATTAGAAATTTCTTGTGGGGGAGTTCTGATACTGCAAAGAAGATGAACCTTCTGAGGTGGGTGTTGTCTCTAATCCTAAGCAAAGAAGGTGGTTATGGCTTGAGGAAGCTTTATGATCTTTCTAGGGCTGCAAAATTCTATTTGGCTTCGGATTACCTGCTCAGCAAGGACAGAATTTGGGTAGCTTGGATGAAGGTTTAGTATGCTGCAAATGCTTCATTCTTGAATTGTACACCTGCTTTCTCACACTCTCTGGTCTGGATGGACATTATCTCAACTCGAGATGTCTTACTGCAAGGTATTTCTTTTAGGATTGGCAATGGGGACTCCATTAAGCTTTATGATGATCCATGGTGCTCTGGTCTCTCTTTGAAACAAAGATACGGTCATGGAATTAGTAGGCTACTTCAGTTTGACAGGTCTGCTAAATTGAATGTTTTAATGTTGAATGGTGCTTGGAACCTCACTGTACTGGACTCTAATGAGCTGATCAACCTGAGGAATTTCTCGCTTTATGTTCATATTTATGTGGATGAGCAGGAGAGGGTCCTGTGGAATAATGGAATTCTTACCTTTAGTAAAGTAATGGACAAGTATAGACATCATAACCCTTATGTTTAATGGGCTAAGCTGGTTTGGAACTCAGGTAGACCAAGGCTTTCTTTCACTACCTGCCTTGCTTTACATGACAAGCTTCCTTCTTTCTGTAATCTCAGGAAGAGAGGGTTGCCTGTTCCCTCAATTTGTCATAATATGAAGACTCTACAGACCATCTATTTATTCATTGTGAGTTTGTTGCTTCTGTCTGGCACTGGTTTGCTAATTTGCTTCGTTGGGAATGGCCTGTGGTGCATAGTCAGTTGCTGCTGGCTGACTAGTTTGCGACTACTTTTACTGCTGATACTTTGAAAGGAAAGATTGGTAGGATGATTTTTACTGCCACTATTCATGCTTTGTGGACTGAAAGAAATGACAGCATGCATAAGGACTCCTCAAAACAGGCCGGTGACCTTGCTACGTCTATTCTGTTTGAGGTTTCTGAATCTGCTAAGCTTAGCACTTCTGAAGTTTTTCTACTTTTACAGCTTTTTTTTATTTGTTTGCTAGAGTAGGCATGTCCACTCCTAGCTGTCTGGTTTTATTTTAGAGGGCATGCCCTCTGTGTTACTTGTTCTCTTCTATTTTATATTTTAATAAACCACACCCATTCAAGAAACAGCAAAAAAAAAAAAACAAACAAACAAACAAACAAATAATATAGAACTTAAGCATTCCAATAGGAGTCTCCTCCCTATCAAAGGATTTCATATTCCTCTCCTCCACCATAAACACGAGAGGCCACCCTCCAAGCATCACGGGCTTCAGTCCCCACTAGACACCCTTTCCAACCCTCAAGCAAAGACATTGTGGAAAATAACATGACCCAGTAGACCCCGAATAGACCAATGAGCAAGTCTCAATAATCCCGCACCACTGGACAATGTAGAAGGAAATGATTCATTGACTCTTCATCCCTATTTGAGACTCATCCATATAACAAAAGCCGATGGTATCATCTGCAAACAAAAAATGAGAGATCCTGCTCAAAGGAGTCCCTACCCACTTTGAACTCTCTGATGAACCCCACCTCAACCACCCTCCTCAAAAGCCTACTGAGCGCCTAAATCACAATAATGAACAGAAATGGTGACAGAAGATCCCCTGCTCAAACCCCACAAGCAACTGAAAAACAAGTTGGAGATCCGTTCAGCAAAACAGAAAACCTCACCGTAGTGATAGAAAACCCAATCCATCTCGTCCAAGTCTTCCCAAACCCCATCCTCTCCAAGATGTAAAAGTTAACACTTCTAAAGCAATAAGCAATCACTAGTGAGGACTAATGTACAAAACCTTATAAATAAATAATAATAGGGTAATAGATGACCAATTTTTTTTTTTTTTCTTGGTTGGTACTCACACACATATGCCTCCACTAAGGCTTAAACCCTTGACTTTCCTTTGGGAAGTAAAGACCTGATACCGCTAGGCCACCCCCCATTGGTGATGACCAAAATTTAAATAGTGAAAAAAAAAAAAAAAAAAAAAAAAAATGTAAGTAACATGTGGTTTTACTAAAATTATTGCCCGGAACATAAAGGAATTAATGTGACCAACATCAAATAGTAGAAAGTATAACCAATGCCATTTGCTCCACCCATCACAATTCTAAGATCTAGTATTTCTTTTCCTCCTCTCTCTCTTTTCTTTAAAGCAAATGAAATTTTACTTCTAAAAAAATGGATCAGGATCAATTTGACATATTGCCAAAAAAACTGAAGAAGAGAATCCTCTAATATCATCTCCTACCAAAAATAGTCTTCTATTAAGCCACTGATCCTCATTATAGAATGAAAGAGTGAAATTGAAAAGGGGTTATATAAATGATATACATCATATTTTCTGTTGCATACCTGCCAATGTGCCACCAAAAGACAAATATTGGTGGATTAGGTCATTCTTAAGCCAATGCTAAGAAGGGAATAACATTAACATGTGTACTTTATCAAGTGCAATAAGGCCAGCAAGGATCCTTCTCAACGATCCCTCTCAGATATTGCTTGGTAACTTGTGAAAATAAAAAGCAATTCGAGCGCAAGTTTTAACAGGTCAGAAATATAGTTGAGACCAAACCAGCCCAACTTGTTCTGAACATAGAATTTATGCTGAATAAACACTTACAAATAAACAGCAATTGAGTGCATAAGAAACAAGTCGTCATCATCATCACACAGACACACAAAGATATATATAGCTGCATAACATTATAACTATAATTTGCATCATATAATGAGATTCAAACAGGCAATAACTGTCAAAACATAAAAACCAATCAATAAAATAGTATAAAATAAACTTAAAGAAGCAAAAATTAGCTGAGTTAACCAAACTTCCAAAACTTAATATCTTAAATGCACAAAAAATAAATAAATAAATAAATAAAAATCCAAAATTCGAACAACCCAAAAGCAAAAATTGAGCTGGTAAACAAGTATTACCTTGAAAATCCAAACGCTATCAAGAAGATCCTCCAGACCCCCAGATGCAGAGTCGACCTCCTTCGGCATATCGTCAGACCACCAACTTCTGCGCTGCTTCTCTCCGAAACCAGTGCCCTCGTCGTCCTCCTCTTTGTCGTTGTTTTCTTGGTTGAACTTGAAGTTCTGGGTTCGAAAGGTCTCGGCATTTGAGTCCCAACGACGATACCGGGAGTGGGTAATGTGGCGGAGGTGAGAAGATAGAGGAGGGTTTTGGGAGGAGAGAGTGGGTACAGGGCTTCTGGGTTGTTGAGGAAAGAATATAGAAGAAGATGGGTATGTAAGGAGAAGAATAGTTTTCTCCATTTTCACAAGCTTTTAGTTCCATTATCTTCCCATAGACGTTGGCTGATTCTCTCCACTAATATATCTTTCCACCACCGAACATGTACAGCCTCCAGACAGATTGGACTTTCTAGTGGCTAGTCAGGTATGGGCGCATATCCTCTGCAGTCTGTTTTTCCTGCGGTCCTCTGCAATTTACATTGTTGAGGTCTTGCTTTGGCCACGTATTTCATTTTAACAATTAAAATTACTTTCTCGGGGTTTACATTGTTTACATTGTTGAGGCCTTCCTTTGGCCACGTATTCTATTTTAATAATTAAAATCGCTTTGTCAGTTATCCTCGTTAAGGGAACTTTTTATTATAAAAAAAAAAAAAAAAAAAAAAAAATAACAAGAATCAACACATTAGTGACATTCTTACCGGCGACGATACTACCGGAAGTTAATGAGAACTGTGTCAATACTTAGTTTTAATGGTGAAGGTGATCAGTGTACCTATTTATTAAACTTCACAATGTTTTTTCTCTTATAAATATCAAATAATAACCTCTGGAATGTGTAATTACCTCATACATTTAATACAAAAAATTTTGGATAAGACATTGGTTCCTAATGAGGCCAACTCAGTTCAAACAATCAATTATGCAAGATTTTACATTCACTATAATGCTTATTGAAGATTATAGAAGAAAACCCTACAATTATCCAAGATTTCAGAAACACTAGAATGCCTAACCAATGTCAATTTCAACTAAAAAAGATTATAATTTAGACTAACAGATGACAAATGAAAGAATTAAAAATTCTTAAATTTATTTGTACTATTAGTTATTCAGCACTGTGTCAATACCTAATTTTGATGGTAAAAGTGATCAGTGTGTTTAGTTATTAAATTTCACAATGTTTTTTCTATCATAAATATCAAATAATAACCTCTGAAATGTGTAATGTGTTATCCAAAAATTTTGATATTAAATGTATGCGGCAATTACACATTCCAGAGGTTATTATTTGATATTTATGAAAGAAAAAACATTGTGAAGTTTAACAAATAGGCACACGGATCACCTTCACCATCAAACTAGGTATTGACACAGTACTGAATAACTAATGTTACACATAAATTTATGAATTTTTAATTCTTTCATTTGTCAGTGTGCCTATTTTGGTATTAAATGTATGCGGCAATTACACATTCTAGAGGTTATTATTTGATATTTATGAGAGAAAAAATATTGTGAAGTTTAATAAATAGACACACTGATCACCTTCACCATCCACATTAGGTATTGATACAGTGCTCAATAACTAATGTCACACATAAATTAATGATTTTTTAATTCTTTCATTTGTCATCTGTTAGTCTAAATTATGATCTTTTTTAGTTGAAATTGACATTGATTATGCATTCTAGGGTATCTGAAATCTTGGATAATTGTAGGGTTCTCTTCTATAATCTTCAATAAGCATTGTAGTGAACTTCACCATCAAAACTAGGTATTGACACAGTGCTCATTAACTAATGTCACACATGAATTTATGAATTTTTAATTCTTTCATTTGTCATCTGTTAGTCTAAATTATGATCTTTTTTAGTTGAAATTGACATTGGTTATGCATTGTAGGGTATATGAAATCTTGGGTAATTGTAGGGTTTTCTTCTATAATCTTCAATAAGCATTGTAGTGAATGTAAAATCTTGCATAATTGATTGTTTGAACTGAGTTGGCTTCATTAGGTACCAATGTGTTATCCAAAAATTTTGGTATTAAATATATGTGGCAATTACACATTCCAGAGGTTATTATTTGATATTTATGAAAGAAAAAACATTGTAAAGTTCAATAAATAGGCACACTGATCACCTTCACCATCTAAATTAGGTATTGACACAGTACTAAATAACTAATATCACACATAAATTTATGAATTTTTAATTCTTTCATTTGCCATCTGTTAGTCTAAATTATGATCTTTTTTACTTGAAATTGACATTGGTTAGGCATTCTAGTTTATCTGAAATTTTGGATAATTGTAGGGTTTTCTTCTATAATCTTCAATAAGCATTGTAGTGAATGTAAAATCTTGTATAATTTTTTTTTTTTTTTTTAACTGAGTTGGCTTCATTAGGTACCAATATGTTATCCAAAAATTTTGGTATTAAATATACGCGGCAATTACACATTTCAGATGTTATTATTTGATATTTAGGATAGAAAAAACATTGTAAAATTTAATAAATAAGCACACTGATCACATTCACCATCAAAATTAGGTATTAACATAGTGCTGAATAACTAATGGCACAAATAAATTTAAGAATTTTTAATTCATTCATTTGTCATCAGTTAGTCTAAATTATGATCTTTTTTAGTTGAAATTGACATTGGTTAGGCATTCTAGTGTTTCTGAAATCTTGGATAATTGTAGGGTTTTCTTCTATAATCTTCAATAAGCATTATAGTGAATGTAAAATCTTACATAATTGATTGTTTGAACTGAGTTGGCCTCATTAAGAACCAATGTCTTACCCAAAATTTTTTGTCTTAAATGTATGCGGCAATTACACATTCCAGAGGTTATTATTTGATATTTATGAGAGAAAAAACATTGTCAAGTTTAATAAATAGGCACACTGATCACCTTCACCATTAAAGCTAAGTATTGACACAGTGCTCATTAACTAATGTCACTAATGTGTTGACTCTTGTTATTTCTTTTTCCTTCTTTTTTTTTTTAAAAAAAAAGTTCCCTTAACGGAGATAACGGAGAAAGCGATTTTAATTGTTAAAATGGAATACGTGGCCAAAGCAAGGCCTCAACAATGTAAACTACAGTGGACTGCAAGAAAAACAGACTCCAGAGGATTTGCACCCAGTCAAGTATACATCAATTATATTTTTTCTTTTTTCTTTTTTACTTTTGTTCAACTCTTTTACTTTCTTTTTTAAAAAATCAATTATATATATATATATATTTTACTATACATCAATCATATTTTTTCTTAGAATTCATGTCTTTATTGATTAGATAAAAATTACTTTTCTCAAAATTTCAATTAGAAACCATTATGTATGGAGCACAATTGAAACTTTTTCCATTATTATTATTATTATTATTGGTATTATGAAACTTAAAATTTTTATAAATAAAAGTTGGAGGTCGGGCACTCTTCTCGTTTTATGTAATACTAGTTTGAGCTCTTCTTCTCTTTTGCGCTTTTTATTAGTTCTTCTTCTTGGTTGGCTTTTCTTTTTTCCAAAACTTCAAAGAAAAAGAAGAATTAATTACGAGTTAAAATACTTGATGTAATTTTCACCATATCTCAATACGGAAGATAGTGTTAAAGAGATGGATTCGAATCATTATATTATCTCTAGAAACCAATAATCTCAGATGTATTGGAATTACTATAACATCTTTCTTTAGTGCTTTGATCTAAGTTATAATTGAATGCATTAGCAACTCAACTTTCCTTTTCTACTTGAACCAGGTGTGACAAAAAGAAAAAATTGCATACTAGTGGTTTGGAGTCACAAAATATAAAAAGAGGTGACTGGTAAATTATGCATGAATAATAGAATATATTATTTTTGCATGACAATATTTAGCTAGTGTTGCTAGCATTTAGTGTTTTTCTTAAAGCCTTAAAAAATGATATATTTACTATTCAAGAACATGAATTTGTGGTGAATAATTTAAGTAAACTGCATTTTACGTGAGGAGAAAAATTTTATTGCGTTTGCTGTATTATGCAACAGGCGCATCCAATCGTCCATACATGGCGTGGACATATGTATTACATGAACGGTCCGAATACGCTCGTTGCATCGTGCAACACACAATAAAGTTTTTCTCCTACGTGAAGATAGTTTTGGTAGTTGGAATCATTTTTGTTTCTCTTTCACGCTATCTAAACCAACAAAATAATATTTTCCATCTTGCTAACCAAATATATGCTAGAAACTTCTTTCTTTCACTCTCACTTTCACTTTCCATCAAAAATTTCATTTAAAAATTATGTCTAATCAAACGGACACTAACGCTTCGTTTGATAGAAAGGAAGGAAGAGGAGTGGAGGAAAGGCAAGAAGAAGAAACAAATTTTCTTCGTTTGGTAAAGATGAGTAAGGAGAGAAGAGAAAAAATTATAGATGAGTCATCATCCTTCATAACTTTTCTTCCCTCTAAATATGGAAAAAAGACACGAAGGATAAGAATCCCACGATTCAATGTATTATTCATTAAATATTAAACACCTATATTATATCTCCAATTCTATTTAAATATTTTTTAATTTGAATCATTTTATTCGCGAGCAGCTGAATGAGAAGAAACTCTCACGTCCGGTTCTTTAGAAAAGATGGAATTGAGAAACAACCATCAACTATAACCCCAAAAGAACCAGATTACGTAAACAACATAGAGGAAGAATGAAGGGAATATCTTATCAAAGTAATCATATTTGTTTTGGTAAATATGCTCTTCAGGCACTTGAACCCGCTTGGATCACATCTAGACAAATAGAACCCGGACGACGACCAATGACACGAAATGCACGTCGTGGTGGGAAAATATGGGTACGTATTTTTCCCGACAAACCGGTTACAGTAAGACCTACAGAAACGCGTCTAAATATGAACAAAAGACACAAAAGATAAAGGCAATGTTATTGTAAATATTTTTAAATTACAAAATTTTGCTTATAATTAGTCATTTCTCTTTCCTTCTTTCCTAACAAACATCCAACCAAACAAAAAGATGATATTATCTTCTCTTCCATCCAACTAAACAAAAAGAGGAAAGTACATAATCCCTTCCCTAATGATTTCTCATTCATCTTTTCTTCTCTTCCTTCCATCTTACCAAACAGAATATAAGAGAAAAATCGAACTGCGCAAATCCACGAGGAATCCTCTAAACCCTACTTACAAATCAAGAATAAAACTTTTACACACTTTATTTACAGTGAAGAAAAAATCGTAGATAGATGTGTACTAGTGTAAAATGACAATCATAGAGTCAAGATAATATAACAAAAACTTGTTTCAATGATGTCTCATACACATAAATGCAGATTAAATATTGTTTATTCCATTATTTTACCCAATGGAAAAGAAACAAGTGGCGAGTTTTGAC